AATGTGTTAAACGAAATAAGTATACGTGTTAACCAGGCACAGGCACAGAGCTATCTTAAGTTGATTGGTTTTTACAAAAGGATTTAAACATTCAAGGAACATTATTTGAAGTAACCTCACATCACTGAGTCTTCATTCTTTATTGTAAAATTCACTTTGTTTGTGGCTATATAAAATAAAATAGAGAAGTAAGATTTCATGTACAACGAGCTCAGGAAGCCCGAGAACCAGCAATAATAAGTTGGAAATAACCGGCCGTGCCTTCAACTAGATTTTTCATTCTTATGGAACAGCTAAAGCCAATTTTATTGTTAGTTTTGTCCGGTATTATGTAGATGTCATGTTTCGTTTACAATTTGTTTCTTGTTATTTCAGTAATTTAAAACCTCGTTTAACCAAATAATACCCCCGCTGCAGCAAACCTGCAGACTAAGCGAATTTCTATTTCCCTGAATGGATTTACACTAAAATGTCTCCTTAAAAATATCACATTTATTCCATATTTAAATAGAATCAGTTTAAAACATACTTAGGTTTGCTGCAACAGGGAGGGTAAAAGTGTTTTTTATGTAAAATGTTAATAGTTAGTAAGAAATAAAAACATTTTCCAAATTTGGGCAAAATATGTTTATAAACAAGCAAACTACAACAGTTTACTTATTCTCCATAAGAATAACATGGGAATTTTAAATTTACAATTTTTTGGAATTTTCTCCGTAACCATTAGGCGCATTATAACGCTTCAATATACTAAATTATTTGTTTTTTTAAGCTCTACAAAATAGTTTCAAAAGAAATTGCAAAATGTTATGTTTTTTGGGTAAAAAATGGGAAAAACCCATTTTTACCCCATAAAAGCCCCCATAAACCCCCGTTCCCATGGTCCGATCATGCTGGTTCGCGAACTCGTTCAAATAAACGTAGGTTTACACGTTTGTACCAAATTTCATTAAAATCGGATCATTTTTGCTCGAGTTATCGCGCTAACGGACACACACATATATATATATCTCTAATATATAAAATTCTCGTGTCACAGTGTTTGTCTGCAAACTCCTCCGGAACGACTTCACCGATCGTTATGAAATTTGGTGTGTAAATTCTGTAGGTATGCGAATCGGACATAAACTATTTCCCGTTTCGAAATTCTTAAAAGGGCTCCGCCCCAGTGGCTCTGGAGTTTCCCATGTTAACCTTATGAGAAATGGAATTAATGAATCTTAACAGCTGTTTCAATTAAACAAGTTGGTTCTGTTCTATGATGTTCAATAGCATTAAAGTTACAAGGATTACCAACAGGGTGCAGCACTATTATTTCTTTTACATTTATGACAACAGCTAATTTGCAACCAAAAGGTGAGTGAGCGTAGGGAACGAACTTCAACCTGGAGGCGAGTTAGCGTAGCGAACGAGCTAACCTGAAGGCAAGTGAGCGCAGCGAACGAGCTCCAACCTAAAGGTGAGTGAGCGTAGCGAACGAGCTCCAACCCAAAGGTGAGTGAGCGTAGCGAACGAACTTCAACCTGGAGGCGAGTTAGCGTAGCGAACGAGCTAACCTGAAGGCAAGTGAGCGCAACGAACGAGCTCCAACCTAAAGGTGAGTGAGCGTAGCGAACGAGCTCCAACCCAAAGGTGAGTGAGCGTAGCGAACGAACTTCAACCAGGACGTGATTGAGCGATGCGAACGAGATCATCTTGAAAATTAAACGTAACGGTACTTTCTTTCCATCGGTCTGTCTTAGGGGAAACCTATAACTTAGGCGATACGAAGTTCGCCGGATCAGCTAGTATATATATATATATGAATTTGAACGGATGGTGTTTTTGATCTCTAGGGACCTCAAAACAAAACAAAAATCGGTCCCGGGTCCAGGTCTTACCGTGAGTACTACGGTAATAGCTTATTCCCTATATGGGAAATTCGCTAAAAACTATCTAATCATAAACAATAACTCGTCCACTGGCTATACATAACCAAACAGTGAGACACAAATAATGAGAAACTAACCCTAAAATAATAGAAACAAATTGTAAACAAAACATGACATCAACAGAAAACCGGACAGAACTAACAATAAAATTGGCTTCAGCTGTTCCATAAGGATGGGAAATCTACTAAGGGACTATGTTTTATCTATTATTATTATTATTATTATTATTATTATTTATTTGTCATGAGAGCCGAAGCCCCCTGACTGCATACCCGGTACCTATCCGTTAGGACATACCCGGGCCCCATGATGTAGGCCGAAGCTTACGCATCAACCTTTAGCACATCATGGGCGGATGACTTAAGGTCATCAGGCTCGCCGGCTGCCGAAGCAGACCCTTCGGAAGGAGGGTTGCCCCTCAATCCTAACCAGGGATTCCGGCTGCTTGTTTAAGCGTCACTCCACCTGGGTTCCACTAGGTCAGGACCTAGAGGTCCATGGTAGAGCGCCCCGACGCATTTAGTGCAAGCAACACTCGGGACCTATCTAATCCCTGACAGGCAGAACCCGCCATCAATAGCCAGGAGGAAGGGGACCGTCAGCACGCTGACGGGGGGAACCCCAACCTCCCATTTACACCACTACCCGATCGAGGCCTTACCCATTGCTGGGAAACCAGAGATAACCAGAGCGATAGATCCCCAGATACCCCTGGCGGGCTCGGACCCAGCACCCGATCTACTTCGTTTGCCCGTCAGACCCAACATCACTGCCAGGCCATCAGGGTTTCCCGAAAGGAGGCAGGTATAGAAGTGGGACCCACCCGGATGAACCTATCCACCAGAGGTGGCGACACCCTTGACTCAATTGAGGTTCCGGGAAGAACCCCCCACACTCAAGATAACCATACCGTCCGTGCTCAGAGACAGGGATTGGTTTGCATAAGTGCCTACAAACCGTTGCCCTCACACTGCGGATGTTTTATCTATGCTTCAACCATCCGGCTCGCTAGTCGCTACCCCAGATCGGTCGGTAGCCCATCAATGGAACCCGTTAGGCTCGCCCCTGCCTCTCGCCGAACCCTGCAAAAGAGACAAGAATTTTGCCTTGTCCCACCCGCCCTTCCATCGCTGAATAGACACGGGAAAACTATTTCTGTGCTACGGCCCGCGCAACACCGGATACCGGTATCGTATTAGTTGGCCCTTTTGACTTTGACAACAGTTTTGAAGCGCTGGAGTCTACTAAAACTTTATCTTTTGACGAGGAAGACTCTTAAATGAAAATATTAATAACGGATACATATCTACATACCTACCTGATTTGTTAGTTTCGTTTTAATTTCATGTGTTTATATATTTTTTTCTGTTTTGAATTTCCATTTAGATTTTCAGGAACATGTTATATTATGGCTATGTATTGAACTTAACTCTAATGAATGATTTTTGTATTCTGTGTTAGTTATAGTACTGTTTATGTTTTTATTTCGTATTTTTTTCAAATGGTTTAAAGCTTTAAATTATACCTGCAGTTCTGTCTGGTGATCCATGGATAGTGCAAACGACAAGAGTAGTAGCCTTGGTTGAAAGCTTTTTAATAGCTGTGGAATTTGTGTTTTAGCTAGCATAGCATAGAACATCTGTTCTAGCTTCTAGCTTCTGCTAAGTCTTAAACGTGTCGACATTTTAGATGAGTACGGTAACGCCAAATCCTGAACATATAAATCAACAAATCCTAAATTGACACAAAGACCTATTCAAGTCTTAAATTTAAATTGAAGATTCCACAGCATTTTAGAGTTCCAAGATTTGTCTAGCCCTTCTAAAATGTTAACATTAAAAATTTGGAAATTTGGACGGGAAATAACCAGAGGTGACTAGGCCTACGTGTTACTGTAATTGGGTTATTAGAAATTATAGATAAAACATAGTCTCTTAGCTATTAACCTACAAAATCAGAGCCATATTGCTTCGGTAGTTTAGGTGTGGTTGAAAGAACTGGGCGCTGGGAGGCAAAACGCGATAATTCCTCGGACGATTCGGTAACGGGGATATTCCCCATGAGCCCGGTAGATGCAGGGAGACGTCCGCTCAATTACCCACCCGAACCAGTTTTGTCCGCCTCACCCACGTCCGGGGGAAACACGGCACACCAGGGCCGTATTCCAGGATAAACGTTCGGGATTTTGCTGCGATAGTGAAAGACGATATTAATGTTACCTCGTGGTCATGCGAGATATTTAAGATTTTGGCATGATTGTGCGGAAAAAGATGATGTTTCCGTTACCATCATTAGGGAGATATTCTAAACATCACGAATATACGTACCACGGGAGATATTAGGGGTTTGGTTGCAATCATGGTAGACGATGACAATGTTTCCGTGACTGCGTGAAATATTCACGATTTCGCCTAGGTCACGGAAGACGATGAGGACTCCTCGGAAGATGCCATACCAAGCCCAAAGTGTAAACTTGAGTAGTGGAAATAGGCCTACCTATTTTAATGATTATTGGGAGAGCGGGCACTGGTGAACAAACTTTTGGGGGGCCGCAAGTTCATATCGTGATATATACTACTTATTTTATAATCTAAGTATTTTGACGATTGGAATGCATGTTATATGATGTTAAAAGCAATAAAGACATTTCATTTCATTCATTTCATTTCATATCGCTGCCACTACATAGTTGTGGTTCTCTGATTATTTTCCAGAATGTGGGTCAAAAGGTCCATAATGTAAAATATTCGGATATAGGACAATTCTTATACTTTACTTCTAGTACTGGTGAATTGATATGAATTAAACCATTGACTATGTAAAAAAACACTAATAGTCAATTATTAAATTTCTTTCTATTAGTTTCACGATTCAGTGGCATTGGTACTACTGAATAGTAAACATAATCAATGTCAATAGTGCTACAGTATTTTAATTTTGGCTTCATGGCACTACAATTCGCGCTAGCCAACTAAGAAAAAATGTAATAATGCCATCTGTTCGAGCCAGCCAGCCAGCTCCAGCTGAGCTGCAGCTGATTCAATTCCATATTCCATAACACAAGTCCTATCACATGTCACTATGTCAGGAGGAGATATTGTTTTGGTTTTACTGTTTACAACATTTCTCACGTTAGGTTATATCTAACTCCATGAAAATATTATAACTAACAATTGCTTGAAAACAAAGTAAGTAAAACGGATTTCTTTGCTAATATAATGAGTTACTTTAATGGCAACGGCAACACAAACATAACCTCTTGTGTGAAAACCCTGTCTTTAATTTACAATTTAATATTCATACAGTACGTTCAATTAATCACAATTTACTAATATGTTAGCAATAATTGTGATTAGATTTAGTCTTAAGTTAAATCCGATTTTTTAAGTCAATATTAATTCATTATTATGTAAAACTTGTCTCAGGTTAGGTTATGTTTGAGTAAACCTGTAAAGCTAAACAACATATTTGCTATTTTTTTTTGCTATAAACAACGTCAATATTAACTACTGCAGTCGTAGATTAGTCACAATAGCAATAATGAATACACACCTTGTAAGACTTAAATTTGTTTAATCTTATGAGTTGATACACCAGGAAAATAATTTGATATTTAACATTGACAATAGAATATCAATGTGAAAGGTATAGCGAGAGCTGTAACTTGAGTCATCCATAATTTAAAATGCATCTTTAAGGTTACGTTATAGGTGCAACTGAGCTTCCTCTACTAATACAATGCTGCGGCAAGACACAAGTGGCAACAGCGCTGTCCCGTCAAGTCAAACCGAAAAAGGTGTTGCACTAATTTATAATGGAGCGTATGGGCAATGTTTATGTTTACATTTGTGTTATTTCTGCTATTATCATGGCAATAAATATGCCGTTGCGACATTGTCACACGTCAACCTTGTATTAGAGGAGACTATGGTGCAACTCCCTACTATCTCTTCTCCCCAGCATTGCAACGTTCTCTGGTATATTCTAGCTTGCATATATTTTTCTCAACTGTAACTTATCTAATGTAGCAATTAAGTTATACCGGTACCGTTATACATAATCTGTTAAATGAATAGTTATCTTATATTAAAACGTAAAGGATTATTGTGAAAGTTGTCATTGTTTTGCAACGCTTTAATGTAGGCCTACAAGGTCAAACTGTCAAACAAAATAACTGTAGCCTATCATCGTTTGAGTGTTTTATACTAAGTCAATTGTTGCAGTTATCCACCATGAGATTAGTTAATATTGAGAAGCTCGGCGAGCTTCAAAACAAACCTTCAAACATCAGGAACATCTGCATCATGGCACATGTTGACCATGGAAAAACAACATTGGCTGATTCCCTGGTGGCAAGCAACGGTATTATTTCCCAGAGAATGGCTGGAAAATTGAGGTAGGTTTAATATTTTGACTTTCAATTAAAATCTTTAGCTTTAATGTTGATGAAATTTTTATGAATGACTTACAAAACACACCAAGTTCTGGCAATACATATAATATTGTAAGGAAGTTTTTCTGAATTACCAGTATAATATTTTTATTTTTTATTTTATTGACAAGTTCTCCATGATAAAATAGTTTACCCAATGCTTGAACCCTTTAAGACTACACTTCAAGTGTTGATAAATTAGAGGCTAATATGCGGACAAATTTCAAGTGCCCGAAGTTTTTCAGAGATAATGCCTTTTTGAGACTTAAAACAATTTAAATAGGCCTAAACTATATTTTCAAAAGGTTTAGTTAAATATTTTTTGGTTTGTTATCCTTAGTGTGGTTCTTCTGTAAGTTTGATTACCTCTTTATGTTTTTAACTCAGGTATCTGGACAGCCGAAAAGACGAACAAGAACGAGGTATCACCATGAAAAGCAGCTCAATAGCACTGTATTATAAAAGTGGTAAGTCAATAAAATCCTCCAGTACCTAGACTATCGACTGTATTAGTTACTTGTAAGAGTTACATAAAAGACCAAAATTGGTGGATGGTTTTAACTGTGGAAGCAAAGTTTAGTAAGACGGTATTGAAAATATTTGAAACAGAATTCTTTTAGGGTCTCTGCTTAAAACTTTGCACACAACCTCTTGCTTTGTAGCTTATTTTATTTCCATCAAGACACAAATTAAGTTCTTTTGTAAAAGTTAAAAATAGGCCTATCCTGCCACCTTTCAGCCACAAAATAACTTAATTAAATAGGTTTTACAACATGTCACTTAAACAATTTTTTAAGTTCTAGAAATATATCTGTAGTCAAATCAAAACATACTTTATTTCCAAAAATATTGCAGAATATAAATTATAAACATAACTTCCAGTTAAACAGACACCTTACTTGCTATTGCATAGATAAAAATAATTAAATATAAAAATACATGTAAACTGAATAATAACAACAAAGGATTGTATGGTCTCAGAGAAGCTATGTTAAACATATACATTAAGGAAATAAGCCTACATGGGCTGGAAGCCCATACGCTTGCTTGAACATACGCACTATATGTGCGTAGGCTCAGTCGCTATCAGTGACTTTCGTATTTCTTGGAAAACAATAATATTCATAATTCAGAAAATCTTAAAAACAAATAATTTAATATAATTGTAAAACTATTCTGAGGCTAAATTAGTGAAATGAGCAATTTGAGGAATGAGGCAAGGCGGAGGACACAGACATAAATATAGTTAAGAATGTTCGATGTTAGTAATTCAGTTATTCAGTAAAGATTACGAGAGAATAAAGTAGTTTAATTGAGTTTTCAATTGTTTGTATTTTGGATGTACTACAGAGAAGTAAGGTACAGGGGATACACACTTATGGGACAACCGTGCGCTTTCAGCTATATTATTTTGGGGTGGAGATGTATTTGTGACGATCAAGAAAGAGCCAAAAGGCTGTAAAGAAATTCCTATCGCACAGGGCACAGGGTCTTCCTCCACCATGAATGTTGTAGTACATGAGGGTGAGGGGGCAGTGCGGGACTTTGCCCTAGACACCAGCGACTAGTGCTAGACACCTCTTAGGTGTACCGTTGAATGTTTCCTGTGTACCTTACTTCTCTGTGGCTATACCTACTTTGGTAAATAATTATATAAAACCTGGGATATTTATCTCTTCAAGAGTAGGCCTATTTAAAATTTAATAGTAGGGCCTATTACAATATAGTCAGACCTTAACCTGATTTCCAGGAAGAGAGATTAAAGGTTCTGAAATAAAAAATGTAGGAGTAACATAGAAAGTAGACTTTTCATATGTGCCGTTATGTTTATAGAATTGTTAACAGCTACAGTATTAAAACCTTATGAGAAACCAATATATTAGTGAATAAAAGGTATTTTGCCTTAAATGTTACTATCTTATGATACCTCACAATAAACCCTACCAACCCTGACGTTAGAATGTCTCAAGCACTAGGGGGTTTAAGGACTACCATCGAGATAACATACTTAAATAAATGGGAAATATCTTGGCACAAAAAACCCAAAATACAAGAAAATTTTATAAAACATGAGAATAATAATGTTTTCCAAAACCTCCATTTAAAATTCTGTGGGCGATAGTGAAATATAAAATCAACTGTGTACCGTATTAAGTAAATTTATGTGTTTTTTTAGTGATTTAGTGACACAGGTAAGCTTCCTATCTCAATTCTCAACTAAATTAATTAGCTTTCTCTCTGTGCCATAAACATAAAATCTGTAATTATTACTTTCTCACTTTTACAATTCAAGTCTCGTACATTAACCGTCAGTTGAGAAACCATGTTACTGTCCATGTAGAGACAAAGAACGAAGAGTACTTGGTCAATCTGATAGACTCGCCTGGTCATGTAGACTTCTCCTCGGAAGTTTCCACTGCTGTCAGACTCTGTGACGGAGCCATCATTGTAGTAGATGTCGTCGAAGGCGTTTGCCCCCAGACACAGGTGAGGAAAATTGCCTTTCAAATATCAGTTTGAAGGGGTTACTGGTGTTATACAAACGATTATAAAAGGATGTTGGTTATATTACTATTATGTTGATCGATAACTCAACGTTTTCACAACATATCCATACTGTTTGAATTTTATTGATAACGGTGGTTAAGTTATTGTTTTTAACCCTACATCTGGCAGTTACAAATCTTTACTGGCAGGCAATTTTTTTACTGTATGTACATATGTAAGGCTACTTTAGAACTGTATAAATTATGTTCTACCTTACAAAAGTATGTACTATTATATATTTTATTTTTATGGACATTACAAGGTCAAACTTAAACCATGAACAGATCCCAAAAAGATTTTTTAGAACTGTTTACTTGTAAGAACAAAAAAAAACAACTAGTGACTAGTTGTTTGCCAGTGGAGAAAATAGCGACTAGTCAATAGTCGTTTGCAAGATGCAGGAAAAGATTACTGTGGACATTTTCCATCATTGAATAGTACATCACATGGTTTACAACTTTTTAGGATCTGATATCTAACCTGTTCAAGGAAGGAATCTAAAATACAAAGAACACCAACTTGTAGTAATATTGTTCACAAGATAGAAGGCTACCACCAGACATTTTCAGAACACAAAGGTTTGGAGCAGTCACACAAACATAAAATAATTTAAATACCCCCGCCGCAGCAAACCTGCAGACTAAGCGAATTTCCATTTCCCTGAATGGATTTACACTAAAATGTCTCCTTAAAATTATCACATTTATTCCCTATTTAAATAGAATCAGTTTAAAACATACTTAGGTTTGCTGCAACAGGGAGGGTAAAAGTGTTTTTTATGTAAAATGTTAATAGTTAGTAAGAAATAAAAACATTTTCCAAATTTGGGCAAAATATGTTTATAAACAAGCAAACTACAACAGTTTACTTATTCTCCATAAGAATAACATGGGAATTTTAAATTTACAATTTTTTGGAATTTTCTCCGTAACCATTAGGCGCATTATAACGCTTCAATATACTAAATTATTTGTTTTTTTAAGCTCTACAAAATAGTTTCAAAAGAAATTGCAAAATTTTATGTTTTTTTGGGTCAAAAATGGGAAAAACCCATTTTTTCCCCATAAAAGCCCCCATAAACCCCCGTTCCCATGGTCCGATCATGCTGGTTCGCAAACTCGTTCGTATAAACGTAGGTTTACACGTTTGTACCAAATTTCATCAAAATCGGATCATTTTTGCTCGAGTTATCGTGCTAACGGACACATATATATATATGAATTTGAACGGATGGTGTTTTTGACCTCTAGGGACCTCAAAACGAAAAAAAAAATCGGTCCCGGGTCCAGGTCTTACCGTGAGTACTACGGTAATAGCTTATTCCCTATATGGGAAATTCGCTAAAAGGGGAGAAATCATTAGTTGTAATATTTTATTAACACCTTCCTCAAAGTAGCTAAAGGTAGGATTGCCCTCCCCCCACAAAAATTACTTTTCTCTAATTACTTTATCTTATTTACTGAAGGTATACCCGTACTTCTGTTGCAGGTTGCCCTGAAGCAAGCTTGGCTTGAAAACATTCAACCTGTGTTAGTGCTGAACAAACTAGACAGACTTATCTTAGAGGTCAAACTATCTCCTTTAGACGCTTACGTTCACCTTACACAGGTTCTTGAACAGGTTAGTATAGTAAATAAGGAAATAGAATAGAGCATAGCATTTTTTAGTATTCTATTGTTTCCATTTGTTTATTGAATTAAAATTCAGCCATGATCTTTGTAAGTCCGTGGCAAAATATAACTTTTTGCCTAAGTGACAATGTTGTTCAATGCTCTGGATACCAACTCTAGGAATCACCTACTCATGTCATGTTTGTTGTTCTTTCCTCTAGGTGAATGCAGTGACAGCCTCTCTGTTCACTACTGAGGTTATGAATCGCTCAGAATCAGTTCCCAGTTCAGGAGACCAACTCCAGGATTGGTCAGATGGGCTGGAGACTGCAGACGACTCTCAGTTGTACTTCTGTCCTGATCAGGGCAATGTGGTGTTTGCCAGTGCGGCGGACGGTTGGGGATTTTGGTATGTCATAGGAAATCTCTTCCTTTTTTCCTATCAGAAGAATATTAATCCATTACAGATAGAAAGGTAATAAGCCTAGCCTATTGCTTTTGCTGAAACAGGACTTTGATTTTCTCCAACTTAGTTTTTGGAAACAAAGGTGCAGTGTGTGTATGGCTGAAGATTTGTATTAATATTGTGAGTTAGTGCTGATTAGATATCAATCCATTTTTTTTTTTTTTTTAGAGGTTTGTGACCTCTTTCAACTTTCAACCTTGCATTTGCCAACATCGACCTAAAATCGTTTGCATTGATATCAATTATAACATAGATGAGCTGGTACAATACAAGAGTGAACTAGCCTATACCTTCTAATAAATCTTTAAGTGCCCACGACATCACTGTCTGAAGCCAATGGTTAAAATAGCCTATGCTAAAATATTGTTAAATGGTTAACTCAGTCATTGGTTCATCAGAAATTGATTTAAGCATGAGTTTGCATTGCCACTGGTTATCCTAGAACTGATAGAAATCTTTTGAGTCATCCACCAACACCAATATATTGGTTGTTATAGCGTACGAGACTTTGCGGCTGTGTACGCTGCTAAGCTGGGTGTCAAACAGGCTGTGTTGGAGCGTACTCTATGGGGAGACTTCTACCTCAACACCAAGACCAAGAGAATAGCCAAGGGAGCACAAGAGAAGGCCAAGAAACCTCTGTTTGTCCAGCTGGTACTAGAGAACATCTGGGCTGTGTATGAGAACATTGTTGTGCGCAAGGTAAGGAACTGACTCAGAAACCATGTCTGTGATGGCACGATCAGATTTGTCTGTGTGGTATGAAATACCCCTCTTCCTGTTGCAGGAGAAATTCAGAGGTTCCCCTAGACATTTATTCTAATTAGTTGCATTTTACCTTCTATTTTTGGCCTTGAAGGAGAGGAAGTTGAGCATTGGGATTTTGACTCTTTTTCACATCTTTGAGGCTGTAAAAACAAAAAATAAACAAAGACAAATCATTAGAGTATTTTTTTTTTCAGAAAAGAACGTTCACTATATACATTTCTTTCAGTATTATTTAGTATTATTTATGTTATTTTTTACGTTTCACAGGACAAAGACAAGTTGGTTAAGATGGCTGAAAGTTTGAATGTGAAAATGACAGCAAGAGACTTGAGGCACACAGACTCTAAAGTTCAACTACAGGCCTTCTGTAGTCAATGGCTGCCCCTGGCGCATGCAGTATTGGGTATGTCTAGCAGCTGGTTACAACTTTTGACTTACAAACCTACATTTAATTTGCTTTGATGAAGTTAGTTAGATACCAGATAATTAGTGAATTATTGAGAAGGGAATTTAGTGAATAGGAGGGGCTTAATTGGATTCTTCTGGTTTGCACACCAGGCATGCTTCTACCTTCTACTACTTGTGCTATCTTTACAGGGTGTTCAAAAAGGGTTGGGAAATAATTTACGTAGTCATTCCATGGATAAAAAATAAAGTGAAATTTACGAATAAAATCTTTTTTCAAAATCGCTTTGTCAACAAGATATTCACCATTTTGTAATTTGTATATAAACATTTTTATTTTTGAATTGTCTAACCAATCTTTATGAAAAATGGTATGCAAATGATGTTAATATAGAAGAGACCCATGTTAGAAACGAAGTTAGCCTACCTTGATCCAATTTAAAATTTCAAAATGCGGCCATATTGATAATTAATTTTTAAAACTTAAATTACAAAAACTGTCAAGAACACTTTTATATTAGTCAATTGTTATTTGATATTTTTGAACTTTGAGACCAAGTTTCCAGCTTGTGTCAAAATGTTGGTTATATTGTTTTGTTAGCCTAGCAATTAGTTTAGTCTTTAGTGCGATAGGGAGATACTAATCAATTTTATTTTGATTGGAAGAGGGTATTGTTTATGTGATTGTATTGAATGAAATTTAAAGGTTTGTTAGTCCTGGTATACAGTCAATTGAATTGAACCTCTAGGGAGGGAGAGTGATTTCGTTGCACACCTAACTGATTTTGAGAGTTTTGGACTTTTGCATTTTAACTTTGTATAAAAGGCCTTAATTGGCAGACCCCTAGGAAAAAAAAATTATCAAGTCTTTATTATTTTCACAGAAATGGTGAGTTCCAAGTTGCCTTCTCCTTGTGAGATAACACATGAGAAGGTGGAGAGGTTGATGTGTGGTCAAGGCCAATCCCTGGAGAGTCTTCCCCCCGAGTCACAAGCCCTCAAGCAGGCCTTCCTGCAATGTAGTAGCAAGCCTGACGCCCCTGTCATTGTGTTCATCTCTAAAATGTTCCCGGTAGGTTCACACCTTGTACTTCATGCTTAACTTGCTTAGAATCCCCCTAAAAGTAACAAGTAGGCCTACTGACCTATACCTTGTTATTAGAAAACCTCAAGGGATGGATAGTGTATGCAAATGAAAAAGCTGGATTATCTTTGATATGATGTAGGCTTTTATAAGGGAACCATCTAAGTTACTCCATTCTTTCTTTAAAAAAGATTATTCTTCAACTGTAGTTTCATCTCTCGTGACTGTAATCTTGGTGATTGTTAAACGTTAGAAGGAATTAGGAGGCCCTTCATCAAAGTTGGGCCCACATTAATAATGCAGTTCCTCCTTTACAAATTGTACAGAAATTTCAAAAAGTTAGTCGTAAGGTTAAGAAGAGTAGGAAGAGCAGCCTGCTAAGCCATCAAGAGAAACATTTAGAAACTTAGGCCTACAGATTAGTTAGAGGTATTGTTTATATACTCCCAAAAAACAAAACACAATCCAACTTACAGCTCTGTATAACTTATATTTCTCAATAATATTTTTGTTTGTGAGATATTAACAAATTATTTAACAGATTTAAAAGGTTTATTATGTTGTAACAATAAATTATTTCTGTGTATACATATTTTAAATATTTTTGAAATGTTATTTAGTATTGGTTTCTTTGTGATTGTGGTAACACTAACCCACTTCTGTGTTTGTAGCTGGAGAGAAAGCTGTTACCACAGAATCGACCCAAGCCACTTACACCTGAGGAGATAGCCAAGAGGAGAGAACAAGCCAGACTGCGATTGGCCAACCAGAACTCGACACCTGGTGAGTCCCAAGTCCTCAGTACTTGACTACAGCAAAATGTATTTCACAGGGTGTTTTCACATCTAAAATTTGTGTGCAGCAATTTATAAAGAAGAGCAATTTTGAAGTTTGTTTTTGAATTTTTGGAAGATTGTAGCAGGATGGGTGGAAGATAACATCTCAACACAGCGGGATCAGAAAATTAACAGTTTCGCGTTGTGCTTGTTACTGGGGGAAAATTCACAACTTCCTATTTGCAGTTAGAATGAACATTCAGAAAAGTCTATAGTATCTTACCTTGTTTAGATTGTAATTTTCCTTTGTGTATTTTTGTCGTCATAGAATATGTACAAAAAAATGTTAACTCAACCATAAAAATGACATTATAAGAATGTCTAATTAGGATAGGGGTTTAGCCAATGAAAGAAAAACATTAACCAGCAATATATTAAAAGCCTATAGAAAAAGACAGGGACAGGTGTTTAGATAAGGGCAAGTCTAATTAAGGGTTAACATTCTTGATAGACAATAGCCTCGAAGAACATTGCAAAAATATAGAATCAAAATTATCATCTTCGCTGTGTATGAAAATAATCTTTATAGCAACCCTTTAACTAAAAACCATGAGCAAAGTTTCTAAGGGTTATCTGTCTCAGGAGATGGTCAGCCGCTGCCTGATGTTCCGCCAGATGGAGGGGGAGGGATAGAAGGAGACCAGGACACACTACCCCCACCCCCTGCGGAAGAAGATGATGTATTTATTGCGTTTGCCCGAGTGTTCAGTGGCTGTCTGAGAAGAGAAAGTACTGTGTATGTACTGGGCCCTAAACATGACCCCGCTGTGGCTCTTCAAAAGGTACTGGCTATGGCTTTACAATGTGCTTTATCACATTTTAATTAGTTTAGTCAATTTCAAAATCTCCTATGTTGTTTCCCATAGATATTCTGCTAGGAAGAGAAATAAAGTTGCAAGACCGAAAAGAGTAATGAAAAAAAATTATGTACTTATGGCAGTGCAGTGTATACAATAACAGCATAATGTTGTCATTTTTAGTCATAACAGAAGTCACAGGGTGTCGATGTTGTGAAAAATAACATTTTATACTGGGAATTTTCTGGGCATATTTACATTTCAACTCCAGATGTGTCAATCCTACTTTACAATGAAGATCAATTATCAATCATCGAGATGGGGACGCCACTTATTAGCGTATTAACCCAAATATGAGTGAAGTATGAGTGTAGAATGTTGTGCCATAATCTGTGTAGCTTTTTTACTGGCTAAGATCAGCTGTTTCATTAGTCAGGATCATTTTAAAGCCCTATGATCAGGAACAGCTGGGTCCAGTTTTCCTTTTGAACCATCAAAAAGCTACTGACTTTGCTCAGGATTGTTAGGTGAGCACTGTAACCACTCAGCTACCCAGCAATTAAATTGTAGGAATTATTTTTATGTTTCGTTCATAGCTTGAATTTGGTAGTTTAGATTTGATGCATTAAAAAGTTTTGTTCTGGTTACGCTTAGTTCCAATGTTATCTGATCCTCAGCAAAGACAAGGAGAGGAGATTGTTGCTGGGGTGACACTGAAGGATCTCAAGTCAGGTCAGCATGTGACCAGAGTGACCTTGAGTGACCTTTACCTCATGATGGGTCGAGAGTTGGAGACATTGGAGTGTGTGCCAGCTGGAAATGTGCTTGGTAATATATTGTTGTCTCTATAAAGTCAGATATTTAAGAGTATAGAAGTTTGTCGTAATGTTCTGGCAATAATTCCTTTGTGACTCAATGAATAATGTGGTATAAGAAACTGGGCAAGGTGTAGTAGAGGTAGAGAGAATATTCTCTTAGGATACAACAGGTTACATACCTTAAAATATTTTGTTTATTTTGTATTTTTTATTAGTAGTGTAAGAGCTAGTAACTAGTGTAGCGGCGTGTTTGACCTGACCCTTGTACTGTGCTGTCCCTCCCCACCAACCCCCCAGCCTCGTGCACAGCTCCTGGCCGACACAACTGTATGGACAACGGTAATTTGCTCCCATAGAAATTATCTATCACTCATTTAATGTCAATTGCATTTCATTCATCCTCAAGAAAAATTCAAAAAAAATCTTTTAAGTTTTTTATTCAATCTCCGTTTAAATTCCCAATCAACAAATTTAGGTCATTAAAAGACTATATGCAACCTAGCAGACATACAGGCAGAGTTTGTCTATGTCTGCTGATTCCATTAGACCAATTAATTATAACTAGCTACAAAATTATAAGTTTATTATGTTCATTTTGCTAGTTTTTTTTTTATAATTCAACATAAGTTCACAACTTTGTTATTTTTTTCCTGTTCTTGATTATTTAATGTTATAAACTTAATATTATAGTAAAAACTGTAAACATTGTACTTTGTAGCAAATTTAACGTAATAAATCATTCATTCATTCAGCTTCATAATAAATATAATAATTTCTGTGATACCAATAGTAGCACAGTTGTTAAGTGATGCACCATGTACACACATCTATTATCTTGTGTTTATCTTTATATTCAGGTTATTGTCCTCAATGACAATTTTTTTTTATCACAATAATCCTTGAATTCCATTACTCACCTTTTTGTGAGCAATACTCATAGTTGTCTTGTGTCACTGCAGGTATCGGAGGTTTGGAGGACCATGTGTTGAAGACTGCCACACTGTCGTCGAATCTCGCATGTCCAGCCTTCAGAGAGCTGCAACTAATGGCTGTGCCTATACTGCGAGTAGCTGTGGAGACCAAACGACCGTCAGATCTGCCAGCACTCGTACGTGGTCTGCGTCTGCTCAATCAGGCCGATGCTTGCGTTCAGGTGTGTCAGAATCTTAAGTGCCCTTCACGATTATCCTACTGGTCTGTGCTGTGACCTGAACACATTAGAGTACAAATACAAGTACCAGTCAAATGAAAAAGCGTTATAATGTGAAGTTCTAGTAATACTCCTTTTAAATACTCGCTTAACTCTCTGAAATACCCTTATATATATACACATATATATATATAAGGTTTAATTCCTGATTGAGAATACATTCAAATAAACTTGCTTAAAAACATTCTTCCTTAAAAGTTCTTGACAATGTTTGTTCCAAGGACAGTTATCAAAATCAATTTTTCTGTAAACCAGTTGTACTGATTGCAGGTTATAGTTCAGGAGACAGGGGAACATGTAATAGTCACTGCAGGAGAAGTTCACCTGGAGAGATGTATAGAGGATTTACAACAAAGGTAACATTCTGGCCTTTAACTCTATAAACTACAATATAATCAATCGTTTATCGTTATTGCTTTCATCTTTGATTTAAATTCCTAATATATCTTGCTTATAAATACCTAACTAACATCATCTTGATCTGTTGAGTCCAATGCAGATTGGTTGATCACATAATTCTTAAATACTGAAATCTTTTTGGTTGAAATTTTTTATAATCTGAAAAAGATGGAAGACTCAAAATATGACTGTTCAAACATTATTACTTGTTTATCATTCAACAAAATATGTGCAGCTGAGGCAGTTGTTTGTAGAGAAATAAACAACAGTTGGATGTAACATTATTTTTCTGGGGTATTAACTCAGCTTTACAGGCTAACTTTATTTTAGTCAAGCATTTTGCTGTCTCTAATCTGTTTTCCCATTCCTTCAGTTTTACAGTTCTTAATTCCTTTGAATATTTGGCTTGAATAACATGGTTGGGGTATTGATAGTTCCCCACTAAATTGAAAACTATTTAACAATTGGTAATTTTTAACTGGGCATTTAATATAATGGAAAAGTTCTGTTACAGATATGCCAAGGTGGCAATCAATGTTTCTGAACCAATTGTCCCCTTCCGAGAGACGGTTGTTCCCCCTCCAACTGTAGATATGGTAAATGAAGCCATTCAAGACCAACAAGTCGTAGGAAAAAAGGTCAGTTGTATGGGTAAACCTAAATGTATAGTTCGGCCGCTTAGAAAACGACCTCCTCTAGCATTGGTTTAGCATCAGCGCGCAGGTCGTTTTCTAAGCGGCCGAACTATAGTTTGATTTTTCAAATTAAAATAATGTTTTTCTCACTCATAGACTTTTTATTTCAGGTAAATTAATTTAGAGTCAGTTGTTTGACTAGAACTACCCAAGCATAATTGTTCAGGGGGTGCTAACTCGATTGTAGAAGGCAAATCTATGTTAATCTAAAAATTTTAATTACTCTAATGAGTAATGACTTTTTTCAATCCTGTACTTCTATACAATACAAAATAGTTTGGTGATTGTTTGGAGTCCATTGAAGAACATAGTTAAAACTAACGTTTTGTCAATTCTCGATATTCATTCTTGATACCACCGATTTGCGGGAGACAATGATGATGTCTACACGACCCAGGCAGGTGTTCAGAATTTTTCTGTGACTACGGAAGATTATGATAATGTCAACTAGAACTGTAGGAGATGTTCATGATTTTGTCACTATTGAGAAAGTCCATGATGATGTTTACAAAACTGCGAGTGGTATTCAAGATTTGGCCATGCTCATGGAAGGTGATGTTAATGTTTCTGTGCCTGCTAGAGATGTTCAATATTTTGCTACTAACCTACAACACAACTCTGATGATTTCGTCACTGCTGAGAGGTATTCAGGATTTTTATACGATTTATGGGATACGATGATAATGTCTACACAACTTCAAGAAATTATCAAAATTTTGCCTTGATAGCTGAAGACTAATATTTTATCCACACAGCCATAGGAGATTTTCTGGATTATGCCATTATCGCTTGAGACAATGGTGATGTTTCCGTTACCACGAAAAATGTTTAATATTTTGCTCACATTGTGTGAGAGGTTGATGATGTTTCTGTTACCGCTAAGATATTTCCAAGGCTAGCCGCTATCCTGGAAGACTGTTATTGGTTTGAATTTAAGTGAGCTGGTTAAAATGTCATTGACTGCCAAATTTTTTTTTTTTTTTTACTTAAAAACATCTCTATATCCCTAAATCACTTTGTGTATTGACATAAAGTCAGGGTTGGTGTAGTAAAACCAATATATGAAGTTTTGTAAAATAAAATACCCCCGCCGCAGCAAACCTGCAGACTAAGCAAATTTCCATTTAGGCCTACCTGATTTGACCTGTAATAGACAAAATGATCAAATCCCTCACTAAACAGCTGCTTACTTACATTAGCAGTAGGGATGGACGGGTCCCGAAATTTCGGGAATTTTTCGGGAAAAAAATATTCCCGATTATCGGGACGGGATTACATTTGACTCGGGAATTTTTCGGGACGGGATTTGGTCCGATCGTCGGCGATTTTTCCGCTACGCGAGTGCCGATAACGCCGTTATTGCGAGCGATAGGTCCGCGAACGCAGGAGACGAAGTCATTTCGACGATTACGACGTGACCGCGGAGTCATAACGACGATCGCGCCGTGGCCGCGATTATTGGACCGACGATCGCACCGTGACTGCGAGTCATAACGACGATCGGGCTGTGACCGCGGAGTCATACCGACGATCACGCCGTGACCGCGAGTCATACCGACGATCATGCCGTGATGGCGAGTCATACCGACGATCACGACGTGACCGCGGAGTCCTACCGACGATCGCGCCGTGACCGCGGAGTTCTACCGACGATCGCGCCGTGACCGCGGAGTTCTACCGACGTTCGCGCCGTTACCGCGGAGTCATACCGACGATCGGGCCGTGACCGTGGAGTCCTACCGACGATCGCGCCGTGACGGCGGAGTTCTACCGACGTTCGCGCCGTTACCGCGGAGTCATACCGACGATCGCGCCGTGACCGTGGAGTCATGCTGACGATCGAGCCGTGATCGCGAGTCATACCGACGATCATGCCGTGACCGCGAGTCATACCGACGATAACCCCGTGACCGCTGAGTCATACCGACGATCGCGCCGTGACCGCGATTCCTACCGACGATGTCGCCGTGACCGCGAGTCATGACGACGATGTCGCCGTGACCGCGAGTCATGACGACGATCGTGCCGTGACCGCGGAGTCATTCTGACGATCGAGCCGTGATCGCGCGTCATACCGACGATCATGCCGTGACCGCGAGTCCTACCGACGATAACCCCGTGACCGCGGAGTCATACCGACGATCGCGCCGTGACCGCGGAGTCATTCTGACGAATCGATCATGCCGTGACCGCGAGTCATACCGACGATAACCCCGTGACCGTGGAGTCATACCGACGATCGCGCCGTGACTGCGAGTCATACCGACGATCGCGCCGTGACCGCGATTCCTACCGACGATGTCGCCGTGACCGCGAGTCATGACGACGATGTCGCCGTGACCGCGAGTCATGACGACGATCGTGCCGTGACCGCGGAGTCATTCTGACGATCGAGCCGTGATCGCGCGTCATACCGACGATCATGCCGTGACCGCGAGTCCTACCGACGATAACCCCGTGACCGCGGAGTCATACCGACGATCGCGCCGTGACCGCGGAGTCATTCTGACGAATCGATCATGCCGTGACCGCGAGTCATACCGACGATAACCCCGTGACCGTGGAGTCATACCGACGATCGCGCCGTGACTGCGAGTCATACCGACGATCGCGCCGTGACCGTTAGTCATCCCATGATGTGCTAAAGGTTGATGCGTAAGCTTCGGCCTACATCATGGGGCCCGGGTATGTCCAGAAGGATAGGTACCGGGTATGCAGTCAGGGGGCTTCGGCTCTCATGACAACAAATGTAAATGTAATAAATGACCGTTAGTCATGACGACGATCGCGCCGTGACCGTGAGTCATACAGACGATCACCCCGTGACCCGCGAGTCACAAGTCTCTATAGGTACCTGTAAATTGTTACCCATTTTTTGGTTTTTATAGATCATTGCCACAAATGGTAAAAATTGATTTCGTATGTCTTTTTTGGTAACTGCAATACAGTACTTTCTTTCTATGCACAGAAAAAAATCCCGTCCCGTCCCGTCCCGAAAATCGGGAAGGAAATAAAAATCCCGTCCCGTCCCGTCCCGAACTAAAAATTCAATCCCGTCCATCCCTAATTAGCAGGATTGGAAATAAGCTGGAATTTGTTTTGAGAGCTTATCTTTACATGAAAAGCATTTTCCCTTTTTTTTATCTTAGTTTTTTAGCTACATTAATTTTCATAGGTTAAGTTAATGATAAATTATCTTTTTTCAGGAATCGACAGATGAATCGGTAGGCGAAGGTGGACTAGTGACAATAGTGACCCCCAACAAACAGTCTGTAGTGAGACTGAGGGCAGCTCCTCTACCCCAGGACATCACAGATCTGCTAGAGAACAACCTGGAGCTGCTGAGGACACTGGACAGGTACTCAGCAGTGATGTCTCTTATTGGCTAGTTACTGATGTGTTTGAGGGTAGGTGAAGGAGGACTGTACACTCCCAACAAACAGTCTGTAGTGAGACTGAGGGCAGCTCCTCTACCCCAGGACATCACAGATCTGCTAGAGAACAATCTGGAGCTGCTCAGGACACTGGACAGGTACTCAGCAGTGATGTCTCTTATTGGCTAGTTACTGATGTGTTTGAGGGTAGGTGAAGGAGGGCTGTACACTCCCAACAAACAGTCTGTAGTGAGACTGAGGGCAGCTCCTCTACCTCAGGACATCACAGATCTGCTAGAGAACAATCTGGAGCTGCTCAGGACACTGGACAGGTACTAAGCAGTGATGGGTCTTATTGGCTAGTTAGTGATGTGTTTGAGGGTAGGTGAAGGAGGGCTGTACACTCCCAACAAACAGTCTGTAGTGAGACTGAGGGCAGCACCTCTACCTCAGGACATCACAGATCTGCTAGAGAACAATCTGGAGCTGCTCAGGACACTGGACAGGTACTCAGCAGTGATGTCTCTTATTGGCTAGTTAGTGATGTGTTTGAGGGTAGGTGAAGGAGGACTGTACACTCCCAACAAACAGTCTGTAGTGAGACTGAGGGCAGCTCCTCTACCTCAGGACATCACAGATCTGCTAGAGAACAATCTGGAGCTGCTCAGGACACTGGGCAGGTACTAAGCAGTGATGGGTCTTATTGGCTAGTTAGTGATGTGTTTGAGGGTAGGTGAAGGAGGGCTGTACACTCCCAACAAACAGTCTGTAGTGAGACTGAGGGCAGCTCCTCTACCTCAGGACATCACAGATCTGCTAGAGAACAATCTGGAGCTGCTCAGGACACTGGACAGGTACTCAGCAGTGATGTCTCTTATTGGCTAGTTAGTGATGTGTTTGAGGGTAGGTGAAGGAGGGCTGTACACTCCCAACAAACAGTCTGTAGTGAGACTGAGGGCAGCACCTCTACCTCAGTACATCACAGATCTGCTAGAGAACAATCTGGAGCTGCTCAGGACACTGGACAGGTACTAAGCAGTGATGGGTCTTATTGGCTAGTTAGTGATGTGTTTGAGGGTAGATGAGGGAGGGCTGTACACTCCCAACAAACAGTCTGTAGTGAGACTGAGGGCAGCTCCTCTACCTCAGGACATCACAGATCTGCTAGAGAACAACCTGGAGCTGCTGAGGACACTGGACAGGTACTCAGCAGTGATGTCTCTTATTGGCTAGTTAGTGATGTGGTTGAGGGTAGGTGAAGGAGGGCTGTACACTCCCAACAAACAGTCTGTAGTGAGACTGAGGGCAGCTCCTCTACCTCAGGACATCGCAGATCTGCTAGAGAACAATCTGGAGCTGCTCAGGACACTGGACAGGTACTCAGCAGTGATGTCTCTTATTGGCTACTCAGTGATGTGTTTGAGGGTAGATGAGGAAGGGCAGTACACTCCCAACAAACAGTCTGTAGTGAGACTGAGGGCAGCACCTCTACCTCAGGACATCACAGATCTGCTAGAGAACAATCTGGAGCTGCTCAGGACACTGGACAGGTACTAAGCAGTGATGGGTCTTATTGGCTAGTTAGTGATGTGTTTGAGGGTAGGTGAAGGAGGGCTGTACACTCCCAACAAACAGTCTGTAGTGAGACTGAGGGCAGCTCCTCTACCTCAGGACATCACAGATCTGCTAGAGAACAATCTGGAGCTGCTCAGGACACTGGACAGGTACTCAGCAGTGATGTCTCTTATTGGCTACTCAGTGATGTGTTTGAGGGTAGATGAGGAAGGGCAGTACACTCCCAACAAACAGTCTGTAGTGAGACTGAGGGCAGCACCTCTACCTCAGGACATCACAGATCTGCTAGAGAACAATCTGGAGCTACTCAGGACACTGGACAGGTACTCAGCAGTGATGTCTCTTATTGGCTACTCAGTGATGTGTTTGAGGGTAGATGAGGAAGGGCAGTACACTCCCAACAAACAGTCTGTAGTGAGACTGAGGGCAGCTCCTCTACCTCAGGACATCACAGATCTGCTAGAGAACAACCTGGAGCTACTCAGGACACTGGACAGGTACTCAGCAGTGATGTCTCTTATTGGCTACTCAGTGATGTGTTTGAGGGTAGATGAGGAAGGGCAGTACACTCCCAACAAACAGTCTGTAGTGAGACTGAGGGCAGCACCTCTACCTCAGGACATCACAGATCTGCTAGAGAACAATCTGGAGCTGCTCAGGACACTGGACAGGTACTCAGCAGTGATGTCTCTTATTGGCTAGTTAGTGATGTGTTTGAGGGTAGATGAGGAAGGGCAGTACACTCCCAACAAACAGTCAGTAGTGAGACTGAGTTGTGCTGAGCTGTGACACTGACATGTCCACACGCTCCACTCAATGTCACGTCTCAGTGTTTTTGTTATAGTGCAAATGTTGGTTTTACGCCCGGAATATGTTTGGTTTGTGTTTTGCAGCACACCTGCAAATCCGGATCGAATCTCCGCTCTGAAACATGTGTTCGTCATAAGGACTGTCATCCGTACCTGTCAAGACTTTGTGTTTGTTATTTTGGTTTGGATGTAGCTTTCACATTCGTGTTGTGTATTAGTTTTTCTCATATTTTTGTCTTTGCAGTCCTTCCACAGTCTTATAGATTTTAGGTAGGGATGTGGGACGACCACTCGCACTGTCACTATGTGGGGGCATGCTGTTGCAGTTGCTTGTCTGGGGACGGTGCGAGGAGCCGGCTCAGTGATATCGGACACACACACATAATAGACATGAATTTGAACGTATAGTGTCTTTGACCTTTGTGCTTCAAAACAAAAAAGTAAATCACTCCCAGGTCTAGGTCTTACCATGAGACCTATGTTGATAGCTTATCCCCTATATGAGAAATTGGCTTAAATGCATAATTAATCTACATAATTCTCTTATTCACATAATTTTAAAAACTGAAAAGTAGTTCTTTGTCTGAAATTCTAGTCGTGAGCTTCTATTTCAGTTTAAGCTGCCTGCAATATAGAATATATAAAAACATTGATGCACTTATATTAATAATGTATTATTTTCCTAGAGCACATAATGTACGTGCAGAGATGGCTGAAGGAATCAACAAACTCTCTTTGGATTCTTCAACAGCACTAGACGAAAAGACTAAAAAGGTATTTTACACTTTCATTGTCAAAATTACTTCATTCTTTCAAGCAGTTAATTCTTCCACTACAATGTCTCCTCATAGTTTTATTTATTTCTGCCAACAATTTTGATCATACTGTTTATTACAAAAAAATGTCCCACTTCTAAAACTATCGATAAAGTGTTTTGCAACATGTTTTCTTCAGAATTGTTTTTCTATCTAATAAACAATTCTGGTTTTTTCAGGCTGTGGAGGCATTCAAGAATAATATTGCAGAAATGTTTGAAAAGCACGGTGGTGAATGGAGTAAAAAAACTGTAGAAGAGATTTGGAGTTTTGGACCAAGAAGGTGCGGCCCTAATATACTCATCAACAGGATACCTGGTGAGATAAATATTTTAGACCGTCCCACCTTAAATAAACTGTGTCGGGCTTTGGTGGAAGGGGATGGCATCAGTGAGCTTAATAGGGATTACAAACAGCACCTGTTTTGCTTCTCTTTATACTTGCATAGAGGAGAAGGACACAGATTTTTTCTTTTTTTTTTTCTTTTAATTTGGTAAAATGGACATACTCTTGGTGAAGTGTTTTCAAATATATAGAAATATATGTATAAATCCTGTGTCAATCGGTTAATCTTAACGAGAGAAGAATATCTGAACCACTTTCAATATCTGTTCAGATTATCCTCTCGCTGAAGTTTCTATTTTAACACTCTTAGAAGTTGTTTAGCTAACTATTTTTTTTTAATTAAAAAGTCCTCACTTTTTACCTTTTACATTTTTCAATAGAGCACAGTGGCCGGAATGTATGGAGTGGGGAGAGTAAGCAAGGTTGCCAACCCTCACTGCTTGAGTATGATAGCAGTTTTGTCAATGGTTTCCAGTTGGCAACACTGGCCGGTCCAATGTGTGAAGAGCCGATGATGGGGGTGGCTTTTGTAGTGGAGGACTGGACAATAGACTCAAGTGCAGAGTCGAACACAAGGTATGTGAATATATTTTCTAAAGTATTTTATATAATTTTTAAACTACTCTCAGAAATTGGTTGCAGGCAGGAATAGGCTACATTAATCAATAAAAAATGTGATTCGGTTGGACAACAATTTTTCTAGTTTTAATTCTTTTTTATTTTTATTTTTTAAAAGGTTGTTGGCCTCTTTCAACCTTGCATTTGCCCGTCCACATAGACTCTGAGCCTGTACCTCGCTGCCTTGGGCCCAAAGTCTGTGACGCTACTGACTGAGCCTCCAAAAATACAAATTTTGTATTTTTTATAAAAAGATAGGGCATTTGCCAGGAATTATTAAGGAAAGTGGTTGAAAAAATGGTCAGTGACCACGAAAATTTCTACTTTTAATTTTGTGATGTTTTATGTGTCTCTATGGACTTATTTAAAGGTAAGCCTGCTTTCCTGTCAATTTCCTAAATTTTGTATTTTGAAATCCATGAAAAATTTTAAATCTTTCTTGTTGTTACAGTGGAGTGTTTGGGCCTCTGTCTGGACAGATAGTGTCGGTTGTCAAGGATGGTTGTAGGAAGGCATTTCAAGCTCAACCTCAGCGACTCATGGCTGCCATGTACAGCTGTCATATACAGGCCAATGCAGAAATTCTAGGTGAGTAACTTTAATGTTTCATTAGCATATTATTTTTACCTATATTTACTATTTAGCAATGTGGCCTGTGTCTGTTGTACAAAATGAAGAAAACTAGGCTAGGTTAAGAATCTCATTAAAGACGTCTGCCCAAGAAAAACCGAACTCTTTCCATTTAAGAAATACATATTTAGTATTTACATTTACTAAACAGCTGTGCTGCCGTGATAAGCTCGACATTTTGCACATACTCATCATAGACAAAAATACTGTGTTCACAGTCCAACACTCAATGGCTAATAAAATGGCGTATACAGGAATGAATTACACCTTTCCCTACTCACAACAATAACCATCACATAAAAAACTTCCAGTTCCTGTTGGTCACCCTATAGGTTTTAGTCCTTGTGGCAGACCTGCATGAAAACTCTCTCCTCTTGCTCAATTGTAAATCAAGAGCAAATGTTTTTGACGTTGCCCAGGTTGTATTGGGCAAATTATCTACATTAAAAGATGCTGGAACATGAGGTGATTTGCTATTGGAATGTTTTCCTGCAGTGTAAGTCTGGGGACAGAATTTTTCTATATTCTCTTTATAGTGACTATTAAATATTAACCTCAGGAAGAGAAATATGACTCAAAGGGAAACGAGGGCTTAAAAAGAGGAGTGTGTAACTTATTAACGTATGTAAGTTATTGCTGTAGATAAAATAAATGATACATTTTAAGAGGCAGTATCCGTACATGAACCCACAACGATGCTTCCTTAATTTCACTGTCAGTCACACTACAGATTTTCCCCCAAAGTGATTCTTCAACACTAGATTTGTGCATGGGTGAACTCTGTGCTAACCAGGCTTTTGTTACAAGTTGGCAAAGCGATTTTGTCAGCACAAATGGAACTGAACTTAAGTTAATGAACTTCATCTGTGGGAATTAAATTTCTATACAGAAAAAAATTAAATAACTGCAGAGCGAGAACTGTCCCATTGTGCATAATATAACAGGAATAGAATTTTATATTTTACAACAAATGGCCACAAGAGGTTAAAAAAATCAGCGTAACAACTGAAGCAAAATTTATTTCACATTTGTTTACAAATCCCACTAAGCTTAAGATAATAAACCCTAAGATCAGAGGAGATGTAAACTGAAAATCCTCAGCAATAAATAATATATTTACCACAAATATTTATAACTACCTTATAGTACAGATTTTTTCTTGAAAGATTTTTTGAAAAAAAAAAAACATAGACTATTATTCCCATTTTTGGCCATTTAGATGCGTAAGTATTAAGAATGTTAAATGTAACTTAAATTTAAATGTCTGATATGTTTGTGTGTTAAATGTGTGATGTAACAAATCTGTTGTGATGAATAAGATTAAAACTTTGATTGAACATAGTTATTACAATCAAGTTGTTGTAAAGCTGAAATTATAAACTAAGTTATATTAATAGGACATTGAAATTGTATCTTTATATTTAAGTTTACACAATAATTGTACAGCAAAAGTTTTGTACTTTTTAGTGAAATATGAATGTTTTTATGAACAGCAAATCTTCATTGAGATAATGCTTTGATAATACACTTTTTGATTTAATTCTATTTTTACCATCCAAATAAATTTATTAAATTTAATTATCCGAGAGCTAATAAAAAAGGAAACTTGAATTTCATTTCATATAAAGTCACCGGTGGGTACTTAGCACATGATTAAAGATTTATTTTTCATCGCTATTAAAACATTTATATAAACTTATTCTTTTGAACTATTTCTATTCCTAATATTAAGAAAGTTTTATACAAATTAACTTAATTCCATACTAATAAATATATATACAACTATAACTAGGTTCTAGGATATAGAATTGTATCTTTAAATAATCTATGACTATGTATATTAAGGATCATATTTATTCAAATTGTTTCATGGAAACATTAAAATCTTTATCCCATTATCTAAGTCAAATGTTTATATAAACAAATTTCTTGGAAATATGTTTATAAATTGAAAAAAATTACCTGGGAACTATAATTCCTTTATAAACATACCTAAAATACAATAAATTTTATTTAACTAACCTAAATGTTATCGATTTTAATCCTAAATAATAAATAGTATAATTTGTTGAAAAACACAGGGATTTTAAAGCTACTCAATACACATTCTTAGTTTCTCACAAGTTACCCGTGTTTTATTTGGTACTTTTTGTAGTAGCCTATACAACCTTTATGCAACCTGTTGATTTGCCAGAAATAAATTAAAATTTTTCTTAAGACGGTGACACACTATCGATCTTTTCCCCGATCAAGACCCCGAACCGAGCAGGGAGAAGGGAGATAAATATACGCAAAATTTCACTCCGAACATTTCCCCGAACAAGACCAAGACCAGACGAATTGTACCGAGCGCGGCAAAAGGGAGTTTAGAGAGAGATGGAGAGTGTGTGCGAGTGAGAGCGCGTTAAAAGTCGCTTTTTGAAAACTTGTCTCAAAAATAAAATATTCTAGAAAGTATGCTTATATGTATTGATGTGTATTGATATGTGTGGACTGATATGTATTGAGTTATATGTATTGACTTTTATTGGTTTTATTCATTGGATCATTTTTTTATAATATTAATGTTTGTATTAATTTTGAAAGAATTTAAAACAACATCAATTACTTAATTCACTTTAATATTATTGATATAATTAATTTAACGGTTTCTACATTTTCAACCTTGACCAAACAAACCACAACATTACATCTTAAATGATCATAATATATAACGGCAACATATTACCCAACATTTATTTATTTTACCAATTAAAGGGTCTAATTGCCATATTAAATTATAACTCAACGCTAGCACAGGCGGCCGCTCGGTGCGGCGCTCGTGACGGCGTACGGGGCAAAAATGTACCGTGACACACTATCGTACATCACTCCGTACATCGGACCGATCTTTTCTTTGATCTTTCGCCAAAAAACTGCCTCCAGAGCGCTCGTCTCCGTGCTCGGCCTGATGTCTGGTTCGCCGTCTGGATCGGTGTATGGACCTGTGACACACTATCAAACATGCTCCCTTTGACCTCCCCTCTCCCTTCTCCCTGCTCGGTTCGGGGTCTTGTTCGGGGAAAAGATCGATAGTGTGTCACCGTCTTTACATGTGCTACAAAGTTTTGAGTTGTTCAAAGAACTTAACAGAACTTGAACAGAACATTTTTTGTTGGCAATATAACAAGACAACTTAGAGTACGGTAGCTAAAGGAAAAGTTTTGTTGAGTTTTTAATTATTGTAATTATATAACCTCACTAACATTAAGGGCAGCTTTTACAAAATGTGATCAATACATTTTCTACAACATATTATAGCCTAATGAAGCTTTTCTTCTGATACATATAATACTTGTTTTAATGGAAAACTGGCAGTTAAATTCATGCACTTTATTAAAGTGACAATCAAACTATTGTCTGTCCCGTTGTTATCACACAAGGTGTTTAGGCTCTGCAGTCCTTATCACATGGAAGGCTCAGTCTAAGGGTAGTGTCTTCATCATTTCAGACACCTTATCCCAAGGAAATGGTGGTTTTGGACCTGTCAAACAAAAAAAAAACCTCATATTAGGCTACTCAAGTCAAAAAAAAAAAATAATATATATTTTTTCCACAACAGTTTTACAAACAAAATGACAAGTTTTAATTTATGCTACATAATTATTTTATTTACTTTAATAAACATATTAAAGTAATTAACAAAAACTGGAAAACTTTAATACTAATTTAAAAGATGTACCTTCCGATGAAAATCAAGTGTTATGGAAAATTCTACAGTGGTCTGTGCATAGATTTGAGTTTTTAAGAATGAATTTATTTTTTTTCATTTCTGAGCTGGATTAATTTAGGGGAAAACATTATTATTGGCTGATGGAAACTTTGAGCTGGATTTGATAAATATTTTAAAACATGTAAAACAATTTAGGCCTATTTCATATTTAGTTACAATAATTGATGTTAAACTAAAGTTACAGTAGAAGTACTCTAACCCAAAATATAATTGGAAAACAATATCTTTGGTTTGCAATTGATTTCTTATTTCTCCACAGAAGTGCTTGTATAAAAAAATTCAATATTTAAGTAATGAGTTTTTACTTTCATTAATAAAGCTTCTACAATTTTAACTTTTCCATCATAAGGTGTAGGTACATATTGGATTTTTTACTCAAATCAGTAATTGACTGGTAAAAGAATACAATTTAACAATCATGGATCAAAACAATAATTGATGTGATGTATCTGGGTATTCTTACTTCTATAATGTGGTAAAATACTATTACTTAATCATACTATAACTCTTGTATATTTCTGTATACAGGTACTAAAGTATTTTTCTTTTATTTAATCACATCATTCTATTGTTTTTATTTTATTCAGTCTAACTTATTATTTTTAAAGTTTTAACGCAAATTCACTTCTCTTTTTGATAAAAAGTTGAGCTTCTGCTATTATTTTTAACCACTAACATATAATAATAAAATTAATATAATGTTTATGACCTACCGACCAAAAGCTTTTTATCAAGGAGCTTTTTAATAATGACTTAATCAACAATCCAAACACAGTTATATCCATTTTGGGTTAAAATAACTGTACAAATGTAGGAGAAAACCATAGAGCAGTGAACAAAATTTAAAACAAAAATAATCTCTACAGGTCATTTAGGTTTGTATCTAATTTGAGAACAGCTGGATATTGCTTTGAGATGGGCAAAGCAAGTAGTCAATTTGCAGTAAATTACAGGATCTTGATAATTAGATGCATGCAATGGCTTCCTACAGACTTATTTGAATGGCTACTGGCCTAGCTGTACAGAAGCATAATTTGCTTTTGGAAAATACATTCTTTTTTTAACAAAGCTAAAAAATCACTATTATTTTGGTCTAAGGCAGTCTTATAATATAAAATTGTCTTTATTTAAATAAAGGGATATTTATAACTATTTGTATATTAATATTCCTATATGTGAGACACATTGTCTTTTATAAAAATAAAAAAAAACATTCAATTAACTTATTGAACTATTATTATTTATTGCTTGCGCCCCAAATTTTTTGTTTTAAATCTTACAAGTATTTATTCTCTCCACATATTCATAAATTATTTTCTATTTTTTAGTTCACTTAAAAACGTGGTATTTTTAAAAAGTCCTTTTATTTATAAATTAGTTTCTACTTTTTAGTCTTTAATGTGTAAATATGTTAAAATAGTTATTTGTATAACTAGTGGGCGAAGTGGCACTTTGCTGCACATGAGAGAAATGTTTATGCACAAGCCGTAGGCAAGTCAGTTTCCACCTGTGTTACACATTATATTTTACCTACAGTTACTATAAACCATATAAATATTTAGTCTTCCAAACACTGTACAACACGTTTTTTAGGTTTGGTTAAATCCAAACATTGAACGAAATGGGGAACGCTGCACACCAGCTGATCGTAGTCGTAATATCTTTAAGTGATGCCAACTTATTTTCAAGCGTACACGAATTACGTCCATAATAAAAAGTACACTGCTCTGTGTTGTTTGGCTGAAAACGCCAAAGTAAAAACTGTGCGCCAAAGTAAGGCTTTCTGTACTATAATCTGTGCAAGGAAGCCCACTTTGTCGGGTGACTGTAGGAAAAATCTATTTTATATGGCCTGTTAATACATAACTAAAACCTTTTTAACTGTAATCAGATGTTGTTGCTACTACTATTCTCATAATCATAAAACTTAGAATCATAGAATCTCTCGGGAGCAGAACCTGTACCTCTTAACCTCTGATCTTTGAACAAAACTGTCAAAAGTATTTACACCTGACTTCAATTGATATATTAACATTCTTCCATAATGTAAACATTGAAAATTTGGAAGCCTATGTGGCGTAGTCCAAGGGAAATTTGAAAATAAAATGATTTAATATTGCATTGTCATCCATTTGTGAGCTATGTTTCAAGTTTCAAGTCTCTAGCTCATCATAAAAACAAACTTATATGGTTTTGGAGAAGATCCCCCATAGATAGACTAGTTTCTTATCACCAAGAGGATTATCATTTATGGTTTACTTGACTAGAATAGATAACATTTTTATTATGCTGACACACCAGGGTGTGTATTTTATGGCATGAGTACTATGGCAGCTAATGATTATTGAATGAATGACAACATTTTTACACAAAAAGATCAACTGGTTCTTTAGTCAGGATAAATTAAAAGCCCAATGGTCAAGGATCAGGTTCCGATTTCGAACCATTAAAAAGATTTCAACTTTGCTTAGCATCGAACCAGGAACCATCTGATAACTAGGTGATTGGTAGAGCCACATCTACCATGTAACCTAAGTTTCCAACTACCTCTGATCCTCAGACTCCTGGTGTAGCGCATGGGTCGACCTCTCCGCTTGGTAGAGTTGCTGGCTTTGTTGACACACATCATTCCATACACTCGTATCCCCGGCACACTGGCATAGGTGGGCTGATCATGACTCATGGGGCCCTCTGTGTATAGAAACAGAAGTATTTGAGTGGAAATCAATAGATTGGCTTGTTGTATTTGCTTACTTTGAAATGAAAAGGTAGCTGTATATCACCATCATGTGAAAATACCTGGTTAAACCTTTTTCATCGATAGGCCCTACATTCATTACATTTTTACTGCATTGAGTATCAATAAAGTCTGTCATATTAATTGTAAGATAATTATATTATCCTGTTATTATTAGGAAATATCTCTACAACTTGTTTATGAGTCAAAAATGGGTTATGCATAACATCAGTGGCAGTTAAAGGGGGGGGGGCTATAGGGGTGACCCTGGAAATATAAATTTAAATATAAATTTTGTCATTAAAACATAACAGAGGTTTTTGGACTCGGTTATAGACGTTAAAATTGGCTTTAAAAAGTCACAAATTGGCTTCAAAAATAGCAAATTTTCCTGGGAAGGACCCCCCTTGACAAGAAACCACATAACATAGACACACAAATATGGCTTACATTTATCTGAAATCCTAGTTTAAATAAATATAAAAAGAAACAGAATTTTACACATTTTAGTCATCATCGTAAATTGTGTTCAAACTACATTTTTACATTATCAACAAGATGAAACTTTAAAATCTTGGTCTTCAGGAAATGACAGTGACGATAAATTGGCAAAGTTAGTGGCCGAAATTTTGGATGCATTGTGACAAGGATTTTAAATGTAGTTTGTCCTGATGTTGGATTGCTGCTATGCATCTGAAATGTCGGCCATTATCTTCACCTATTGAAGGACACAATCATCTAACAAAGACCAAGGTTTGACTGTCCACTTTGTCCTTGGAAGCTGATTAAGAACAGATGGGACTTTTCACTTTACCAATTCATTAGTTCCATTACCTTAACAAAAGTCTGGAATAATAAGATGTTAACAAATGTTTTCTAGTTTTTTTACTTGTATGCTTAAAAGATAAATCATCAAACTAACCAAGTACGCTGGTGTCAGGACACCGACAGATAACGAGATAGTGTGACTTTCCTGTCCGAATGTTCTGTAGAGCCAGCAGACTCCAGTCTCGAGGCACCCGACACATCCTCATATCAGCTACTGGCTCACATGTCTTGACTAGAGTCAGGATCTGTAGAAAAGGATCAACTTTCAGGATTTGTTAATAGCTACCACAAACAAGTTATTGAATATGCTTTAGAACTTACTGACTTTTTCTCACTTACTCCTGTGGCCACTCAGTTCAAAGTTGATTTTTTGTCTTGCCAATAAGTTTCCTCCATACTCTTCTTGCCTCCAAATGTCAACCTTTTTTACAAGTTTCCTCCGTCTGCTACCTTACATTCTTACTTGATATTTGTTCCTGGTGGATGACCTCCCTTCTGGTTAAACTCGCAATACTATCGTTATCAAGGAATTTTCCTCCCTCTATTTGATCTTCTGTACAAATTACTGAGCTTTAGTACTCTCCAAACCGATTTTGGTATCAAAAGAAAGCTTATAATGTCCTCTTTGTAAGCAATACAAAATTTTGTCTTAACTCACAGTAGTTTTCATTTAAATAATTGTTTTATTGAAGCATGTCGTAAAAATCACATTTCAGAAAAGGGACCTCTTGTCGGCCCTATGTTATTTCTCCATTAGATAAGATAAGGTACCTCTTGTCGGGGCAGCAAAATTTGTGAGATATTTTGTTCTCCGTGAACTGAAATTTGTTGTAGTTCTCTAAATTTCCACTAGAATGCAAAGCAATTTTTTTTTTTACTAAAATCTGTTTAAAAAGTGTATAGGCCTATTAGAGGGCAAAATAACATTGAGCGAGAAGAGGTACCTTTTCTCAGACCTTGCAAAGAGGCTAACAAAATGATTTATTTCGACCTTTTGCATCTTCAATTCTATATTGTAACCGATACGGTCATGTTCTATGTTAAATGAGTTATAACATTCGATAAAACCCCGAAATTAGGTATTTTCGACCTTAATTACTTATATCGGCCGTACTGAAAATTTTTCATCTCCGACAAGAGGTCCCTTTTCGCTTTCCACATCACATATTTCTCCTCCAATATTATTTGGCTATGTTGGTACCATAGCTTTGGTCGCTTTCAATGCTATCTATAAAAGTTGGATAAGAGGGGACAATTTGTGTTATTACCTTACTCCTCACGTGACTTTAATTAATGTTTGCAATTTCTAGTTTTATAAATGTATATGAAGCTTTTTTATTTAATAAATACATAAAACCCCTACAAAAGTACATAAAATAAATAATAAACAATTGCCTAATTTACTTTCCTGTGGATAGTTTACTTGGAAATCGATACTGATAGTTGGTTTTAAATGGCTCAATCTGTTCGGATTTGGTTAATTGCTATTTGCTGGTGAACCAAATTACACCAGAAGAATATATAGTTGAGTCAGACAACCAGTGCTGCACGCTGGAGTGGAGGTACAATTTTCCTGCTACTTGCTCCATTGGCTGTGACATTGTTTGTTTCTGAACCACGCAGAGTAACGGAACTATGCACTATCCATTATCTCATTTACATCTCTCCCTCTCCCAGCTCTTCCTCTCAAATAGTTGCTCTTGATTTATCCTTTATTGTTGAGGAAAACTTATAAGGTATTAAAAGTCAAGACTGAAATTTAAATTTGGCACTTAACTAACACTGCTGTGTTATTTAATTGAGTCTCAGCATTTTGAGATTTGGCCATTAATAATATGATCATCAGAAACCGTTGTTACATTATTATTTGGTACTGGACTAGACTTATTGATACTTGTTTATAACTACTGTAGTGTATTGATTATCCATGCTTTCGCTTCTTATTTTTCTGAGAGTTTTGAGTTGCTGCTGTTCATACCATCAGTTGTGTATTTATTTAGTATCAAATTGACAAGACTTTATCTCCCCCAGCTTAATAACTGTTAGGTGTTATTTGCATACTTAAATGTGACTTTTGATTTTCTACATAAGGAATTAAAGGCAACAAAATATCTTCTTGAGTAATCTTCTGTTGCCAAAATCTAATATCGTAATTACATCTCGCTCTTAATTCTTAAGACAAGGTTTAAAGTCATAAAATCTTCACTGCTCTTTTTACCATTTCCCTGAAGCATTGTACATTTAAATTGTAAATTTTAAATCCGCTTGTTATTAAAGTAATGAGATTTCCACAAGTAGAAAGGCATTCACGAGAGTTTGTATCCTGAAGCATGGATCTACTTTATTGAGTTTACCAATTCCTTCAATTTAAACTAGTCGTTTCCATTACTCGAGGCAATACAGTTTTTGAAATTATATATCCAAGCTTAGAATTATGGTGATTTTTGCCAGCTCGCTTGGTTAGCAACTAGTTATTGATTTAGCAAATTCCACTGGTAAACGAGCGTTCTACATAATGTCTATGGAGGCTTACAATTAGCTTTAAATTACCATTATGAAAAAAAGTCTTGCAATTTAGTGAGTTTTTTAGCTTTGTAAAGATTGTGTGGTCAATAAAGTTCTTTGAGAGATGCATTGAAGATGAAAAATTTAATTTTGTAAACGTAAAATTTATATAATCTCTACCATATGGATAATTGTTTTAGGCTAGTATAGTTCAGATTGATCCCAGTTCAGATAAATAATACTTTTTTAAAATAAAACATTGGCTCTAATAGTTCAGGCTTTGGGGTGTAAATTGACACAATTTTTGATAATAGAAAAATTATGGAATCTCAAACGGCTAAAGCGGATGACGAAGGCGGAATTTGCGGCTAGGTTTTAAGCATATTAAACATTTTGACAATTGGTACCCATCTTCTAATATAAATTTTTGTTCTACTTTTTTGCCCCTTTACATTTTGATCTGAAATTTTTTTCCAGATGATAGGAAATGCACTCATTGTCAGCTTTCTCTTAGACTGTAAACTATACCAACCAACGTTTACTGACCATCAATATTATTAGACTACCAAGGTCTACCGTTTAACTTACTTTATACTAAAGCTTACCTTTCCCTTGGGGTCCATAGTCAACTCTGTGGTGTGTAGATCGTCAGAGTTGAGACTGGCTGAACAAGGTTCTCTATATCGTGAAGGGCAGGCACACAGCGGCTGTGTGTAGTTGAGCCTTACGTAAACTGCGTTACACACCTGAAAACACATCAATATTGGCATCAGACGCTGGATAGAAGATAGCTCAAGCAAATGTTCAGATTACTAGAGTAACTTGTTATAGAAACTCACACCTATTTTACAAAACAAACCTGATGTGATGAGGATTATGGACTTCAAACATTTTTGTAGTAATCTAATGTAAAAAGGTTTGAGGAGGATTGTGACAAAACTGGATAACCTAAAGTAATTAGGTTTTACTTTGATATCAGAGCCATTATCATCAAGCTGGGATTTGAGAATGTTAAGAAGTGACATACTTGATAATCTTGTATCACTCTGTGATTGGTTGTTTTACAACATATAATTTATAATTAATTACAGAAATGGAATACTTCAAACAACAAACTTATTTAAATATATATTTCTGCAACAAAAACAGACAAAGGCTGTAAATAATCAAAACATCCACATTTAGAAAAAAAACATGCATTGGGATGAAAGAAGATAAGTTAATATTGGCACTCATAAAAACATGGTACTGTAGATTTAATGATATCGTAAATTTTCCATTACTGAGTTCTTTATCTGCAATGGCTTTATCTTCGTTACCATGCAAGGACAAGAAACTAAAGTGTAAAAGTTTGATTAAAGAAGGACCATTTCAATTATTATAATGGCTACACATCTTGGAGAGGTTTAGACTGTCTCACCTTAATCTCTTTCAAACAGTATTTTTGAAAATGAAGATACCCCAAACGTTTATTACCAAAACTGTTAATGGGTAATGGGATGAGATTCTGTCATGAAGCATACATTGTTCACGGACATAAATTACTGTTTATCGTCAAACAGCAGTGTAATATTTATTATGATTGTTATAGTAGTTGATTGATCTGACCTGTTGTACAGCACACTCTGGTAGCAGGTAGATGTGTTGGTTGTGAGGATAGTAGTGGTATTTGGTTGGCTTGGTAGCTGTACCTCCTGGTAGCCTCACTGTATCCTGTAAAAGAAAAAATATGACTCATCAGAAGTTTTAAGTTTCCATTGATAATACAACATATTATCTATTGATAATAATATATTATGATAACTTAAATATTTTATTATAGTCCTCGCCACCCTAACTTGAGGCAGCCCAAGGCTGCACAGTGCACACTGCACACCTATATCTAGGGTGGCTTTGGGCTGCCTCAAGTTAGGGTGGCGAGGACTATACTATTGAAACTTTTTGAAAAGAAAGGTGGATATTAGTGTATTCCTTGCATGTGCACATGATTAATTTATCACCCACACAAGAGTTATCTCTCTTGGGCTTGACATCAGGCTGAAACTGGTAGTTTAGTTAGATTTTCTGGAGTTTTATTATACTGTATTCTCTCGAGAACATTTGGGGAACTGATTCGAAAAGTTCCTGGAAAACAAATGATATAAATCTGGATTGTACATGAAAATACTTAAGGTGCGTTACCAGCACAATGCCGCACAAGGAAAGTAAACGAAGCAACTTTCTTCTACACAAGGGAAGTGTTACAGATTAAAATAATGTCGAATCACCAGCTGATCGTGAATATCGGCGGGAACGGTGACAATTGGCGGTAAAAGTGGCGCGCGGTTATCAGAGCGACCACGTGACCGGGGACACTTTCCCTCGACATTAGCCGTGAACACGTCAATGTCAATGTGATTGTGATTGAGCCGACACATTTGATAGTTGATAGTTTGAAACCTTTAGTATGTTTACTTTTCGAAATGTCACCTTTAGTTTGTTCTTTTTTTACTGAGACGTCGACATATTTTGGGTTGCTTGCATGTTGAGCGTTAAAAATGCCATAAATCATGTAGTCTTCATACTTTGAACTTTGCAATTTGATCTAGACAATGGTTATGAAAATGTTATTGGAGAACATCATAACATCTAAAAAGCACTTCACAATTAATTGCAAAATTCAGGTTTCAGTTTTCTTAATGTATCACGCTTTCGTTGTTTATGCACATGCACTTTTCCAGAGCTTTTGAATAGATTACTCTCAAGAAAAGGTTTACACCGGGGAAAATGTCAATCTGAAATCTGCTTTTCTACTTTTTTAATCGACCCCTATATTCATTCCGTAGATGACACGGCATTATGCTTATTTTAAGTGTTTAACCTCTTTTTGAATGAGTTCTGTACAAACAGAATATTTGACAAATACTGTAAATATCTGCGTTAATAACATGGATATTTTTTTACGTTTTAGTCAGCTTTTTCAAAGACCTTTTGAATGGGTTAAGCCTATGGTGAGAAAATGCTCACATGATGATTTGTCTAAATCTCAGTTCAAAGTGTTTTTTTTTCAATCTGTCCTGCACCATACGATTACCATCAGACGTTTATTGAAGTTTCTTTGAAGTGATGTTTTACTTTGTCAACATAGGCCCGTACTAGGAACATAATTTTTAAATGCAACGACTATCTATCTATCTTATTTATCTATGTTTGTTTAACGTGGTTTTTAGCTTTTTCAATGGACCGACATTGTGCATTTACGCGTGTAGAAGAGACGTTTATCTATGTTAGTTTGACCCGAGTATAAAATGGGTGTCCCAGCACGAAAGTGAGATTAGCGACTGGGAACTCACGACTGCAGTTGTGGGACTCACGATAATACAGCTGCTATTGCCTTCCACTTCGTGTGTACCGTGGTACCGTGGCTTGAGACGGCGATGGTCCCAAAATGACGAGGGAATGGTGTCAAATGAATACCAAGTGCCGAAACAGAACTCTTTTCGACGCTGAAAGTTCAAATTCTTCAGCGATCCCGAAGTCACGCACGGTTAGAGTCATTGAGTCGTTTATGGATCGATTATTGAAATGTATTCCCACTAAAAGCTGCTTAATTTTGTTTCGGGATACATTTTCACAAATCTTTGAAACAGAGAAAAGCAGTTTTGTGTTCGTATTTGGTACATGGTATAGTATTTTGTTTGCAATCAAGCATACCGAAGTGTATACTGTAACATGACCTTTCTTATTCACTGTATTTTGCCCTTTAATGGCTAATTATGGATTCATGAATGTGAGCCGAAACTGTTAGCGAACGCCATCATATTGAAATACCGTTTGAGTATGTAAATAATTGAATCACTTGATGGCATACCGACGAATTTATTATATAACTGTTTGAGATATTGTTTACATTCCAATATCAGCTCCCTGCACTACTCTACCACAACAAGCACAACAGGGGCCCCGCTACCCTCGACAATGGTAACAAAACGGCATTTACCGCATGATAATTTACCACAGGGAGTCGACGATATGATTGGAAATTCCCGAAGTTGAGGTACAATGTCGAAAACGAGCGTGGCGGCCGACAATCGAATAACAATCGAATCGAACGGTACATTCGATTGTGTGTCCGTTACTCGGCTACCGTGGAATCGGCGAAACTGCGACATTCTCGTCATCGTCATCACGTCATCGGCCTGACAGTCGTAGCGCGTGCCGAGCGTGCTGAACGTGCAGCTGACACGCCGAGCCTGAGACTCCCGCGATGATACTAAGTCTCATGGGCACTCTAGTACTAATGAGCATGAAGAGGACGCATGGAAAAGCTTCAGTAAGCTTAACACCCAATAAAGTTCACGTAACGTTTTTTTTCGTAATCGATGGACGTAATTGATCGCTGAACACATAGTTACATTACACGGCAAAGTTGTATAGATTAATTTGGTCTTTCATGGTTATCCCGGACTTTTTAAATGGCTTTTACATCTAAAATCTTTATTAGTGAATTTATTTGGTTGGAAAGCACTTTGCAGGTTAGGAGTGTAGGTGTTTCTTACAACTTTACTACTGTAATATCTTTATAGTAATTCCATACTCAACCAAAAAAATTCAAACCTTAATGTAATTTTACGTTTTTATTTCATTCTGTTTTATTTCCACTTCCCTTCGTGTTTGATGGTTTTGGGTTCCATTTTCATAGACATTTTATACATGACCGGATGCATGATCGGACCATGGGAACGGGTTTTAACGGGGGGTTTTATGGGGTAAAAATTGTTTTTTCCAATTGTTTACTCTTAAAACACAAAATGTATAAATTTTTCTCCAGACCTTTTTAAAGAGCTTAATAAAACAAATAATTTAGTATATCAAAGTGTTTGTACGGTGATTGGTAACGGAGAAAATTAAAAAAAAAAATGTTTACTTAAAATTCCTATGTTCATGATTGTCTTATGGAGATTATTGTAAAATGTTGTAGTTGGCTTGTTTATAGATATATTTTGATCAAACTTGGCGGATTTATTTATTTCATACTAAGCTATTGATATTTTTATACAAAACACACTTTATTAGTTTCCTTGTAGCAGCAAACCTAGGTACTCGTTAAACCTAATGTTATTTAAATAGATTTAATTGAAAATCACTTCAGGCAAATGTAAATTTGCTTAGACGGCAGGTTTGCTGCGGCGGGGGTATTTTATCAATTAGATTAACTTTTGATTGTTCAAATCCATCATCAGTAATGGATTTCAATAAACCAATCATCTGGAAGGATAAAATAAATATGTATTTTTGGTCTTATCAGAGCGGAACTTAGATCATGACTAATGTTTCACTTTCTCCCTACCTCATACCAATGATAAAAGATTGTCGTTCCGACGCGACGGCAAGAAATGTTCATGGTATTATGTTTTACATTGCAATTTACATTACATTACGATCACACTCGTCAGTGCACCATCGACAGAATCGTGTCGTCCGTGACTACGGTTGTAGTAGCAGACTACACTACTGAACTCGCATGTCGTGTGCAACACTACCTAGAATAACGCTAGTGATATTGTATATGGTAACATTTTATCTATAATGAAGTCTTCAACATGAAATGATTTAAAACTTGTTTAGTTACTCAATACGAATACTGAGGATTACAATGCTAGTACTTGTATTAGATCATACGAGAGCATAACAATGTTTCGCTGGCTACTTTGCATAGCAAATGAACTTTTAAGAATCTTACTGCCAATAAGTATTGACAAATGAATTGCTCAGTTGTTTGTTTCAACTGAAAATAAAATATCAGTAACAAAACTCAAAGAAAAAACCAACACGTTGCGTGCACCGAGTTCCAAAACATGCTGTGTGGAATAATAAAGAAATCATAAAGGTTTCATTACAATTGGTCAATTAAGTACTTATGTGGTTCACTGACTACGGCAGCTGTTCTCAGGTCCTCTGTATCATTTTCGTGTCCAACGATGGCTTTTCCTACGAAGCTATGATGAGAAATGCTATATAGTGAATGGTAATGCCACCAGTCGCTACTGGGGACTTAGCTTGCGTTGCCTGACTATTCAATTCCGCCTTTAATGACTTATCCGTTTATAAATAGGACATTACGGACAACGGTGCAATCTATACTATCATAAATTAAACATGTCTTTCATGGCGTGTTACATTGTATTTCTTCGGAATCTTGGTTTCGGTATGAGTTTTGTGGATAGTTTGGCCGTCTGCAAAATATGTATGGTATAGCTAATGGCGATTTCAAAATCAAGAGAATTGGTTAGAGGAGCCAATTTGTTGTAGAAGACAAGTTCCAAAATATTACATTAAGTTTGAACACATTAATTAAACATCATTTGTATATAAACAAATTGACCGATCTGCGAGTAACTGCAAGTTTCGGGTGATTTTACTACGAGATTTAAAGATAGAGAAAATACCTTTTGGTCGGGGGTAGGATTTTATTCTGGTTTAGGCAATTGATCCGTAAGAGGTTGTGTCTAATTAACGTGTATTTATATTAAATACACTTTCAATACAGGTATATGCTAACAATTTTTATGAAAATGCCAAGTAAAGATCCAAAAGATACTACTTTACATTCATTCCTGATAAAAATATATACAGAAGAGTTCCATATTAACAGATACAATAGTTAGCCTGTTTGCTATTTACAGTTATAATCAACAAAGTTTAGAATAATTTCCGTTGGTGAGTTCAAAAAC